TTTCTCTTTGATGTGCCTAGTTATCCGACAGAGGATAGCGTTGTTCGTTTAATTTGTTTCTGCGAGTAGGTTATTCAGTTGTCAAGGGCTTCTATTTTGTGCAGGAGCACTCAAACGTCGCTGAAAATACTTCTCGCCATTATGATTATCCTGTGCTTGCTTATATTACGCCGTGGTATCTGCCTGGAAACTCCTTCTTCCTTTTCTTTTCTTTTTCCTATCTTAAAAACTCTTAATCTATCAGCTTTAAATTTTAGCGAAGTTCATATGTTAAATTGTGCAGGAACTCCAGGGGCTATGATATAGCAAAAAGGTTCAACTCCAAATTTACACATTTATCACCGGTGTGGTATGATTTGAAGAGGTACGCAAATGATGATGATTTTTTTTACTCGTTTTTTGGCTGTGTACTTATGCACAGAAACACATGAAAGCGATTAGCAACATTCTTTGCTAGTTCTTATAGTTTTGTTTTGTTTCTACTTTCTTATACTTGTGTTTATCTTCCCTCTTCATTTTGCTAATAGTTGTGTTATACTTATACATTTGTTCTGATACAGTCATGGTTCCCGCTTAGTGTTGGAGGGAAGACACAATGCTGATCAAGGATGGATCTCAGAGCTCAGACTGGGGTTCCCGCTTAGTGTTGGAGGGAAGACACAATGCTGATCAAGGATGGATCTCAGAGCTCAGACTGGCTGGAGATGCACTGGTACGATGAAGGATGCATAATTTTATTGTCCAAGTAGCACTAGAAGCAAAATATGAGTTCTGCACTGGTACGATGAAGGATGCATAATTTTATTGTCCAAGTAGCACTAGAAGCAAAATATGAGTTCTCACAATATAACATAAACAAATTCATTAGAAGAAGCTTTAACGTGAGATTCCACATTGGTTGGAGAGGGGAACGAAGCATTCCTTACAAGGGTGTGAAAACCTCTCCCTAGCAGACGCGTTTTAACACCTTGGGGGTGGATTGTGAGATCCCAGATTGGTTGGAGAGGGGAACGAAGCATTCCTTACAAGGGTGTGAAAACCTCTCCCTAGCAGACGCGTTTTAACACCTTGAGGGAAAGTCCAAAGAGGACAATATCGGTTAGCAGTGGGTTTGGATGGGCTGTTATATTTAATCAATTCTGGATTTATGTTATATTTTGTGAAGGGTTGTTGGAATTCTGTAGGATCAAAGAACACATAGGAGAAATGCCTTTGGTAGATTGTGAAATTCTGACAAATGTCAGGTTGTTCAAGGAACTTTGATTAAAGACTCACCTTTGAATGTACCTCTTATGCATGACTAGTAATCTTAAAATCATTTTATTTTTGATTAAAGACTCACCTTTGAATGTACCTCTTATGCATGACTAGTAATCTTAAAATCATTTTATTTGAGCTTGGACGGATGATGGGTCATTTAATTCTTTCAGTAATTCTGAAGTAGGTATTGCCTAGAGTGGTTGTTGAAGCACTTCCTACAGATCTGCTTAGAAAGAAGAAGCTGCAAGTAGGTATTGCCTAGAGTGGTTGTTGAAGCACTTCCTACAGATCTGCTTAGAAAGAAGAAGCTGCAGGACAAAGCTATTGATCTAATTGTTTCAGAATGCAAGTAAGAACACACTAGATGCTCTTGTAAATTTCAGATTCAAGGTTGTTTTCACAAATTTATGTTACTACCCAATTTCATGCGTCAGATCATTTTGGTTTAAAAGTGAAGGTTGTTTTCACAAATTTATGTTACTACCCAATTTCATGCGTCAGATCATTTTGGTTTAAAAGTGTGTATATTTTCATAACCAGAGTCTATTTTGTTTAGCTTACATGTTGCAGTTGCAGATAACTCTCACAATCTTTCTTTCCTCTTATCCAGGGAGATGGGCTATGATGGTGTTGTGCTAGAATCCTGGTCGAGGTGGGCTGCTTATGGGATATTGAATGACCCAGACCTGAGGAACTCGGTAACCAGTTTCCTTCCCTATTTTGAAGATATTGGATACTACCTGCCGCATAAGAAACGAAACATGTCTTTATTTTTTCCTTCCCTATTTTGAAGATATTGGATACTACCTGCCGCATAAGAAACGAAACATGTCTTTATTTATAAATGGCCTACATTGTGTCACATCTGTCAAGATGTCATTCTTGGTTCTGTTTGGTTAATTAAATGCTTATTTATTTTATGCTTACCTGTGTCATTATATCTTCTGGTTTTATTGTTCGTCCTTTCTTTCAACAAGAAGTTAATTTTGTTTAGGGACATGGGCTTGAGATTTTGTCCTTCATCTGTTTCCTTAGATGCACCTTGTAATATGGTTTTCATGACGGTTTTCATGACGGATTGTTTGATAGCTCGCTGCATGACTTTCTGGATGTTAAACCCTGAGGGATGTAACTAACTAAGGCAGTCTGGATGCTAGCCAAGAGGGGAGTTTTCAACGCCTTGCCTGCAAGCTTTATGAGATTGTAGCTTTCTTCTATTTATATTTACAGCTCTAAAATGAATAGTTAGATAGGTGGAGTCCTTCCTGACTTTGAGTCTCAGTTCGAGAGAAAAACAAAAGAAGATTGAAACTAGTTAGCATGATCGCTTAGGCTTTTGTGTTGCATATCATGAGAGCTTTCTAATTACATAGGTGGCTATGATGGCCACCATTGGTCTTCTAACCTTTTCTTTATATTTTCAATGATGTCTACCTGGAGATGAGGCTGTCGAACTGCATGTGTGTATGCATCTTTCAGATACTGGATAACTGAGGGACCTGTTTAACTCCCTATTACAGGCACTGCAATTTATTAAGCAACTTGGAAATGCCCTGCATTCAGAGCTTGATAGCTGGAGATCTTCTAAGCAACCGTTACAACTGGTGTATGTCATTGGTCCACCTCATTCCGATTGATAGCTGGAGATCTTCTAAGCAACCGTTACAACTGGTGTATGTCATTGGTCCACCTCATTCCGAGAAACTGGAAAACCAGGATTTTGGGCCAGAAGATATGCAGAGCTTGAGTGGTGCTGTGGACGGTTTCTCGCTGATGACCTATGATTACTCTAGTCCTCATAGCCCAGGCCCCAATGCTCCAATGAATTGGATTCGTTCAGCGTTACGGCTAGTACTTGAGTCCTCATAGCCCAGGCCCCAATGCTCCAATGAATTGGATTCGTTCAGCGTTACGGCTAGTACTTGGCACCAAGGACAACAGCCTTCTTCCACTCGAGGCTGGCAAGATTTTTCTTGGAATCAACTTCTATGGCTATGATTACAGGCTTTCAGGAGGTAGAAATCATTCTATCTTTTATGTGCCTTTTCTAACATTTATCCTATGATTACAGGCTTTCAGGAGGTAGAAATCATTCTATCTTTTATGTGCCTTTTCTAACATTTATCTATCTGAAGCATAAACGAACTATTTGACGTCTGGAGATTGTTTTGTTTGTAGAAGAATTCCCATTAGTTCAAGAATGCCCCTTTATAACAACAGTTCTATTTTGCTGCATTAATAGGAGGTGGAGCTATCACTGGAAATGATTATCAATCTGTCTTAAGAAAGTACAAGCCTCTGGTGCAGTGGGAGGAGATCAGTGCCGAACATTTCATCTTGTACACTGATAACAATCAAAACAAGCACGCAGTCTTTTATCCATCGCTGAAATCAATCTCCACACGTCTTGAGGCAGCTCGATCGTTGGGAACCGGCATCTCGATATGGGAAATCGGGCAAGGTTTGGACTACTTTTTTGATCTTCTGTAATACGTCTCAAATTTGCAGCATATGGGAAATCGGGCAAGGTTTGGACTACTTTTTTGATCTTCTGTAATACGTCTCAAATTTGCAGCGTTTCTGTACCTGCTTCTGGGAGACCACCACAAAGTTTTGTTCACTTTTCCACCCTTTTTGAGGCTTCAACTAATTTATGACTGATTGATGCAAAACTATACATTGGTGGTTCTATGCTTAAAGAGCTATGCGAGCAAATGTGAGTAAGTTAAGATAGGATCATGAACAGATTCACCAGGGGCCTGTGGTTGACCAAAATCTTGTTATGTTTGTTGGACCCTTTTTCTTTAGTAGTAAGATCTTAATTCTATTTGCTATCTTAATTTTTTTTTTTTTTTCTTTGACGATGAACTTTCAATTCTATTTTATTTTAGTTTTGGAACTTTCAATTTGATTTTGACAGGATCCGAGTCTAACCTGTGGGTTCGTCTTCTTCGCCTGATTTCTTCGTTTTTCTTTTCTTCTTTCTTTCTCCGGTTTCAACCAATGTTTCTTTCGTTCTCCAGCTCCTTTCTGACGTTCGTTATGCATCACTTGCTTGAATGTCTTTTTTCATAGGTAGTCAGATATGTTAAATTCAGACTTCAGAGAACTCGGAGTCCCAAATATCAACTTATTAACTCCTAACTTCATAACTCAATTTAATGTCCCAAACTAGTATTTGATTTCCCGACATCATAAACAAAACAAAATCTTGAACGAAAAAGCTCCTAAAAGCCTTAGAAAGTAAACATGAAAGACATCATAAACAAAACAAAATCTTGAACGAAAAAGCTCCTAAAAGCCTTAGAAAGTAAACATGAAAACCTCCATCTTGTTCTTGAAATTTGACTGTTTTAGTAGAAGAAAAATATGAGGCCAAACAAGCAACAGTATCTTTAAGCGCACTTGATTAAGTTAATTAATCCATCTTTATCTTATAACCAACCAATTACTGTAATTGAATATTGTACACTTGATTAAGTTAATTAATCCATCTTTATCTTATAACCAACCAATTACTGTAATTGAATATTGTACTAAACTCTGTACGTGCATTCCTTCTTCTTCCCATTCCCACCACATAACTTCGTCCTGTGCGGTACTGCTGTACTGAAAGTGCTTCACAGAGAAGCTCCAATGGGGATTAAACCAAACGCTCATACCTTGTACTGCTGTACTGAAAGTGCTTCACAGAGAAGCTCCAATGGGGATTAAACCAAACGCTCATACCTTTCTACTCTAATTCTCAGCCACACAATCACATCTCAGCCACCACAATTCATCCTGCTACATGTCGTCTTCCCATTGGTTGCAGATTTCCACTCAGCACTCTGTTTGTCTGAAGAAAAAAAAAAAGAGCCCAATTACATGACATCTCTTTTCACGCCTTGCCCTCCATTCAACCATATCCCCACCAAAAGAAACCAATTTGGCATAAACCCTTCACTTGTTATGGTTGTTGAACCCTTTTCATCAATTTTTTGAGCACCAGACTCTATTTTTGCTGCTCAGAATTATGCCATGGAAGCCCTCAATGCAGCAAGTTTGAGCCCTTTGGCTGTTCTTTCCGATAGAAAACGAGAAACCAAGAAAATCCCCTTTCTCCCATCTCCTTCCTCCTCCAAATCGCCAAATGCTGCCGGGTTTCCCACAATTTCACCAACCCCACAAGGGATTTGTTCATCAAGAACCTTTCATGGAAGTCTAGTGCTGCTATCTTCAGTGCTTAATGCTGGGGTTGCGGGTGCTATTACGTACGAGGAAGCTCTCCAACAGTCCGTGAGCACTTTTTCATCGGGGGACTTGGATTTAAATGGGGTTCTTGATGGGATTATAAATTTTGGGACAGAGAATCCTGGAATCGTTGTTGGTGGTGCTGCCATTTTGGCACTCCCGTTGTTCTTCTCTCTTTTTACTGGGAAATCTAAGCCATGGGATGTTGAATCCGCCAAAATTGCTTATGTGAAATTGCGCGATGATGCTAATACTCAGCTACTTGATATTAGAGCGCCGGTTGAACTTAGGAAAGTGGGTAGCCCTGATATTCAAAAGTTGGGCAAAAAGCCTGTGTCCATTCCTTACAAAGGTGAAGATAAGCCTGGTTTCTTGAAGAAGCTTGCTTTGAAGTTCAAGGAGCCACAAAACACCACATTGTTCATCTTAGACAAGTAAGACTTTGCATGATTCATAACATTCTTGTTCATCATTGTTAACTTAGTTTAGAAAGTAAAGCAAGAATCTATACGAATGAACTATTTTTAGGTAATGTAAGCATGTTTTGTTTGTTTAGAAAGTAAAGCAAGAATCTATACGAATGAACTATTTTTAGGTAATGTAAGCATGTTTTGTTTGAAAATGATATAAATTTTGTTGCAAGACAGATATGATGGGAGCTCAGAACTTGTTGCAGAGCTGGTCACTGTCAATGGATTCAAAGCTGCTTTCGCCATTAAAGATGGTGTGGAAGGACCTCGAGGATGTGGTCACTGTCAATGGATTCAAAGCTGCTTTCGCCATTAAAGATGGTGTGGAAGGACCTCGAGGATGGACGGTTATCACTACTCTTCTTTGTGTATTTGCATTTCAAGGATTTCTTTCAGTATATTTTAGGAGGTTTTGACTTGAATCTGTGTGTTGTGCAGAATAGTGGCCTTCCTTGGTTAACACCAAAGTCACCTTTGAGTATTGGCAGTCTAACAGATGCCATTGCTGGTGCACTTGGAGTACGCATCTCTATTTCAATCCATTTTTCTACATATGAATGGTTACAATGAAAAACATGATTGTTTTAGTGGCATCTCTATTTCAATCCATTTTTCTACATATGAATGGTTACAATGAAAAACATGATTGTTTTAGTGCATAAATTTCATAACTTGTCAATGTTCTTCATGTTCTTTGCTCAAAAGTTGTTCCTTTTTTCGTTAACTTTCTGATGGGTTTTGTTGGCTAAAGATGATTTGACTAGATTCTTGGTTGAAATTTACATGGTTAACTTTCTGATGGGTTTTGTTGGCTAAAGATGATTTGACTAGATTCTTGGTTGAAATTTACATGTAGGAGGATTCTGAAGATTTTCCTGCTGTTGCTGCTGCTTTTGCTGTAGCAGCTACTGGAATTGGTTTAGTGGCTTTTACTGAGGTTGGTCCATATCCTTTGGCTATGTGCTGTAGCAGCTACTGGAATTGGTTTAGTGGCTTTTACTGAGGTTGGTCCATATCCTTTGGCTATGACACAGTTAAAAGAGAATTGATAATGATGTCTTAGATCACGTTTTTCAACAGATGGAAACTGTTCTTGAGATTCTGGGTTCAGCTGCAATTATTCAGTTTGTGAGCAAGAAACTCCTATACGCTGAGGTGAGTTGGATGTGTGTATCCAAATGCTGTGACAGTTCAATTTTCTCATGATGTGTGCATCCTAGATGTGTTCATTAACATTACATATAATGTCGAATTTGTTCCTCTCTCCAACCAAGGTGGGATCTCACAATCCACCTCCATTGGGGGTCTAGCATCCTCGCTGGCACACTGTATGGTGTCTGGCTCTGATACCGTTTGTAACAGTCTAAGCCCACTGCTAGTAGATATTGTCCGCTTTGGCCCATTATGTATCGCCGTCAGCCTCACAGTTTTAAAACGCGTCTATTAGGAAGAGATTTTCATGTCCTTATAAGAAATGTTTCGTTCCCCTCTTCAACCAATGTGGGATCTCACAATCCACCTCCCTTGGGGGCCTAGCGTCTTCACTGGCACACCGCTCGGTGTCTGGTTATGATACCATTTTTAACAGCTCAAGCCCACCGCTAGTAGATATTGTCCGCTTTGGCCCATTACGTATCGCCGTCAGTCTCACGGTTTTAAAACACGTCTATTATGGAGAAATTTTCATACACTTATAAGGACGACTTCGTTCCCCTCTGAGAGATTACCATACCTTTATAAGGATAGCTTCATTCCCTTCTCCAACCAATGTGGGATCTCACAATCCACCTAGTGTCCTCGCTAAAACATTGCACGGTGTCTGGCTTCTAATACCATTTGTAACAGGCTCAAGCCCACTACTGGTAGATATTGTCCACTTTGGCCCGTTATGTATCGCCGTCAGCCTCATAGTTTTAAAACGTGTCTACTAGGGAGATATTTCCACACTCTTACAAGAAATACTTCGTTCTCCTTTCCGACCAACGTGGGATCTCACATATGGCTATATAGCCTTATCATTTTCCATGATCATTTACTTATTACCTGCCTCTTGTGGGAACTTGTTTCTTATTCCGCATTGCCATTTAATTATGTTGACACTGGGATTGGATACTGAATTGTGCTTGACCTCAATCAATTGGCCATAGGATCGGAAGAAAACAATACAAGAACTTGATGAGCTCTTAAACACCAAGGTTGCCCCACAAGGACTGGTTGACGACTTGAAGGTACTCATACATTCTGTTGAATCTGCATACTTCTATGAATCTCATAGTCTCCTCAGTTCTCCAATCAAAACTGCTTATGAATTGCAGGATATTGGAAAGGCTCTATTACCATTACCTGCTACGAGCAAGGCACTTCCAGCACCAGCAGACTCAGCTGAAGCTGCCCCTCTACACAAAGCAGAAGCTGTTGAGGCTGCTCCTGAGATAAGTCCGGTGGAGGCGAAACAAGAAGTAAAAGCAGAATCATCGCCCCCAATCTCGAGGCCACTTTCTCCATATCCTTCTGTAATTCTCAATTCCATGATTATATCTGATCTTCTCCTAGTTGTGGATTGAATCTAAAAAAACAGTATATCAAGCCATGTTTTTTAACACCCAAACTTGAAATTTGATCATGTTTTTGTTGACTGTCAGTGACATTCATGATAAAAACAGCCTCTAATTCTTCTCCTTGTTGTATCTCTGGTTGCAGTATCCAGATTTCAGGCCTCCGACGTCTCCTACGCCATCGCCGCCATGATAACCGAGTTTATATCAGGGAGATATGGTGACCCAAAAGTATCCTGCTTTGCTTTGTTTTTGATATTGGAAGTCAATGAAATTGTAGTTATTTAGTGAGTCTCAACATTGACCTCAAAACTTTTGTAATGAAAAAGGTTGGGTTAGTACCAAATTCAGTTTAGTTTACTTCAAAACCATAATGATAGAAGATTGATGGCAAGTAGAGCTTCAACTTTGATCTAAGTTTAGTTTACTTCAAAACCATAATGATAGAAGATTGATGGCAAGTAGAGCTTCAACTTTGATCTATGAGGGTTTATTTCCAAGCATTTCACTTGCATTTTGATCAAAAGGGCACTCATAATTAGCCTTAAGAACATAAAGTGAAGTGATAAAATTGAAGAAATGATTGAGAGGAAGGGCACTCATAATTAGCCTTAAGAACATAAAGTGAAGTGATAAAATTGAAGAAATGATTGAGAGGGAGAGTGGAATTTGATATCAGATCCTTATAAACCCATGATGGATTATCTCCGATAATTCTTGACCATTATCTGCTCTGCTCCAACAAAGTACATCATAGAGTCTTCCATAAAGTCTCCTTCGACTTCAAACACTCGAACAAAGTATACTTTTTGTTTGACACTTGAGTCACTTTATCTACACTTTGAGTCTCGCAACTTCTTTATTCGATACTCGTAGATTTTATTCACATGACTAAGTTAAGCGCATAATTCTAATACTATATTAGAAACAACTACCTTTCACAATAGTATGATATTGTCCATTTTGACAACAAGATTAATGTAGGTTAAGATACACGACAGATTAATTGTTAGGATCGCACAACAACGTATACACTTGATCATGATGAATACAAAGAACATGAGAGAAAATTCAAAGAGGAAATATTGGCTAAAGGTTTTATTGATGACTTTATATATGTACCCCAACAGAGAAGGAAGAAAGTACATTTTGATAGCACTACCGATCTTTTACTATAGATAGAAATCATGCTCAATATCCAACCATCTCTCAATTGGAGACTTAATTGGAGACTGATCCAGTCAAACAAGAATTTCATTCTCAATCTTGCACCATATCAATTGAGATTTTACACGACCTTAATATTCCAACATCAACACATTTTGTCAACATGTTTGTTGGATTCTTTGCACCATTTATCTCCTCCAAACACATCACCATCTTCCACTAAGTAAAATGGTATTGCTTTCTGTGTTTTGTCTTTGAATGATAGACCGGGTTTCTCACCAATTGAATGACACTCTAACTGTCTACCTAAAGAATCTTCTTGCGCTGCTTCTTGCCTAATTCTTTTAGATAACTTGTCATCCATATCATCTCCTTTCTAGCTTCAGCTATTGACACGTACTCAGCCTCAGCAGATGAAAGAGCAACGCATTTCTGAACCCTAGACATCCCATCATCCATGGCTTGCTCCCGCTTGGTTGTATCCTCCAACTGTGGGGTCTCATTAAGGGGTTCTCGTTCTCGTTCTCCTTCATCAGTCACCAACCGATAGTGTAAAGAAGATATACACCTATTTGGTACTTTGATAGCTCTGGATGATCTTTTTCAATACTTGCTCAGATGTCACTTTCTCTACTTCTGGTTCCTCAACAACAGTCACAGAAGTTTCTTGAGTATTCGCTACATCACTAGGTGAATCTTTCAGCAACTCAACCTCAACTCTCACTTGCTTCACCTTTGGTTCCTCAGCAACAGTCTCAAAAGTTTCTTGAGTATCTGCTACAATATCACTAGTTGAATATTTCAGCAACTCAACCTCAACTCTCAAAAGTTTCTTGAGTATCTGCTACAATATCACTAGTTGAATATTTCAGCAACTCAACCTCAACTCTCACTTGCTTCGTTGTCTCGGAACTTACTTGCTCCACGTCTGGTTCTTCAGCAACAGTCTCAGAAGTTTATTGAGTATATGCAATTCTGCAACTCAACCTCAACTCCCACTTGTTTTATTGTCTCGAACCTTTGTTCAATTCTCTAGTAGCCCTTGTGAAGCTAACTCATTTCTGTTGGCTCATAACACAGTTCTCACAAAAACTCATATCACAGTTCTCACTTACTTTTTTTTTTTCTTATTTTCTATTGAATTTGTTTTTTTTTTTTTTTTTTTTTGTGAATAATTATAGATTGATTTGGGTTGAACTTTTAATATCTTTATTTAAAGATTGTATGAGTAATTATAAATTGTGGATAAATAAAACTTTTTTTAGAAAATTAATTTTTTTAACAATCCAACAACTCAACCAGAAAATAAATTGTAGGCTGTGAACATTTTCTAGTTAGGTTGGTTTACAAATCCAACCAACTCGAACTTTTGAGTTGGATAAAAAAAAAATCCCTCAACTCAATCCAACGGACCATGTACACCCAAATGAAAAACATGAGACTCACCTTGTACAGACCATTTAGCTGGATGGCTAAGCTCCCTTCCCGATGAGGGGACTATTATGGACCTAGGAGGTTGCAGCTCAACCCTAAGTAAGATACCAAGTAGTCTTATAGAGCCATGTTTGAGGTAGCTCTTAGTAGGTCACTAGTCATTCACACCTCAACATAAGGAACTATTAGGGTTAAAATGAAATAGTGAACCAGAGCAGCCCCAAGAGGTTAAGACTAGAATTAGACGTTCGAGAGCCAATGAGAAGTCTATGTTTATCTGTTAAGCCTATAATGCGATGAGAGCTTATAAGTAGGTGATTTATTGAGTATATTTTTTATACTCATACTTGCTACGTTTTTCTTTTTCAGATGCTTGAGGCGTCGGGTCAAGAGGGCGTGTTTGAGAGATGTGGATTGCCAGAAAGGAAATCATGTCACTGGGCATGAGTCCAGTATTTCTTTTTTAATACAAATTTTCATATCTTTCGTTGCCAAACCTAGTCAATTATTTGAATCATTGTATTGAAATTTCCTTTTGAAATAACTTATTTCCTTTTTATGTCTTTTCAAATATTTTCTTTCTGAGTCATGACAACTACTCTCCTAATAAAATATTGAGTCACTGACAACTACTCTCATAATAAAATCTCATAATCATTGTACTGAGTCACTGGCTCATAATAAAATATTGAGTCGTGACAACTACTCTCATCCATGGCTCCACAGTTAAATATTGGGTTAAATATTGGATTGTGACAACTACTCTCATCCATGACTCTACAGTTAAATATTGATTGGGTCCAACCGTTGGGTTTATGTCTATGAGCCATTGTGAGAGGAATTCGGACGCTAGAGAGTTCGGTTAATGGGCTCCAATGCTTGACCACTTTATGGAGTGAAGAACACAAAAAAGAGTGCGGCGGCTGAAAAGGTTAAATAAATCTAGAAGCATGTTGAATATGAACAGTTGAGATACATGACAGATTCACATGATTAATGCATGTTTATACATCGATGAAAGGACTGAATTTAAATGTTCAAAACCCTTACCATATAATTAAGCAAATTGTACAGTTCCATGCACATATTTTTCATCCCTACAAGTGGGCCATCCCCTCTGTTTTTTCTTCAATAAATCAAGAGCTGCATACTTCACTCTGCATTTCTCCATTTCCGCCGCCATGGAAGCTCTGCACAAACCTTCCCAATTCCACATTGTTATGGTGCCAAGTCCAGGAATTGGCCATCTAATTCCCCTCCTCCAGTTCGCCAAACGCCTTGTCTCTCTTCCCGGCTTATCCGTCACCGTCGCCATTCCCTCCGACGCCCCTCCGACCAAACCCCAAAAAGCTCTCTTCACCAACCTCCCTTCCACCATCCAACCTCTCTTCCTCCCGCTCGTCTCCTTCCACGATCTCCCCAAACACACCAAAATCGAGACCATCATCGCTCTCTCTGTAACTCGCTCTCTTCCTTTCCTTCGCCACCTCTTCCAATCCCTCATCGGAAAAACCCATCTTGCTGCCCTCATCGTCGACCACTTCAGTACTGACGCCTTCGATGTCGCCATCGAATTCAACGTCCCTCGCTACCTTTTCTTCCCTCCCTCCGCCATGTCCCTTTCCTTCGCCTTTCAATTGCCCAGCCTCGACCAAATCGTCGCCGGCGAGTTCAGGGAGCATCCCGAGCTGATTCCGATTCCTGGGTGTATTCCGATTCATGGGAAAGATCTCTTGGAACCGGCTCAAGATAGGGAGGATGATGCGTACAAGCTATTACTCCATAACTGTAAGAGGTATAGATTGGCGGATGCTGTTTTTGTTAACAGCTTCCCTGAATTGGAGCCGGAAGCTATGAAAGCTCTGCTAGTGGAGGAAGCGGGGAAGCCCCCGGTTTATCCAGTGGGCCCGCTGGTGAGAAACGATTGCAGTGAAAACGGAAAGAGAGCGGAGTGTTTGAAATGGCTTGATGAGCAACCAAATGGGTCGGTTCTGTTTGTGTCGTTTGGGAGCGGTGGGACTCTGTCGAGTGCTCAAACCAACGAATTGGCGTTGGGATTGGAAATGAGCGAGCAGAGATTTCTATGGGTCGTAAGAAAGCCAAACGACGAGGCGGCTAACGCAACGTTTTTTGGCGACGAGAAGGAGAAGGAGAACGAAGCGTGGAGATTCTTGCCGGAGGGGTTTATGGAGAGGACTAAAAACAGGGGAATGGTGGTGTCATCGTGGGCGCCACAGGTTGAGGTGCTGAGGCATGAGTCCACCGGGGGGTTCTTGAGCCACTGCGGGTGGAACTCGACGCTGGAAGGCGTGGTGAATGGGGTTCCTCTGATTGCTTGGCCGCTGTATGCAGAACAGAGGATGAACGCCCATATGGTGACAGAGGACATCAAAGTTGGTTTGAGGCCGAAGAAGAAGGAGGGAAGTGGGATTGTGGAGAAGGAAGAGATTGCAGAAGTGGTGAAGTCGTTAATGGAAGGCGAAGAGGGGAAAAGGATTCGAGAGAAAATGAAGAATCTGAAAAATGCAGCGGAAAGAGGTGCGGGGGAAGATGGGTATTCATCCAAAGCAGTGTGTGAAATGGGTATGAAGTGGAAGAAGACGATGATGATCAGCAGTTCCCAGGAAGGGTATGAATTGGAAGAACATCAAGATCTGCAATAATAACAAGCTTTTGAATCTTGAATTGCGTCTGGGGGCATTGAATTTGTTCTCTTGAATCACAACTCCCTCACTTTCTACAATTTGAATAAATCAATAATGTGATGATAACAACAGAATTCACCCTCCTCTCTCCAAACATTATAGATTCAAATCTTTTTATTTTAAAGCTGCATAATTTTTTAATCTTATCTGTTAGTGAACTATATATATAAAAAAAAAAAAGTTCAATTATTAAGAGGACTAATGAATTGGTATGAACCAGACAAAAATAATAATAATAATAATAAAATAACGAAAAGAAAGCCATAAAACTACCACAAATAATTGAAGAAAGAGAAACATGTGAAACACAAATAATCGAAAAATACAAAAAAAAAAAAAAAAAACATTATTAATTTCTTACCTTTCCATAGTCTTTATCTAATTTGATAAATAATAATAATAATAATAATAATAATAATAATAATAACAATAATAATAATCCTTAAAAATAGAACGATTATGTGACTACCCACCAATGTAGTTATTATTATTGAACCAAATTAACTTTATCTTATCCTTCTAGTAAGATATTAGCAAGACACAGTGACATTAAATTATATTCATTTAAATATTTTACTAATTTTTTCTATTTATTAACAAAAAAAAATTCCAAAATCATTATGAAATTTACTTAAATAAATAAATTAAAGATTAATAACATTTCATATTTAAAAATTTTTAATTCTATAAAGAATTTAATTAACTTTAAACTTTCAATTTTGTGTCTAATAGATCTCTTTCGACTTTGAAAATGATTATTAGGTAATTTTTAATTTTGTATTACTAAAACGAAAATTCAATAAATAAAATATATTTAAATAACTCTTTTTTCTTAGCATTTTAAATAATATAGGGATATGACAAATTTCTCCCTATTCAATAGATATGTAGATATATGTCATATCTTTCTTTTTCAACGAGATGAAGACAAATAAGATATTATCTATTTTCTAGATATCGGTAAACAAAATATTACCCTCGTTCAAGCTTACAATTTTCTCATTTTGTCTTGCCCCTTCCGTTCCGCCGACCTTAAATTTCTACATATTCAGAGTCGCTATTAATGTCTTATGCTCATCATCTAAGAGAAATACAACTCTTAAAAGAAAACATCATCTATAGTATAAATATCGAAAATATTTAAAACATTTTCTTGTCTGAAAAATACAATCATGGCCTTACGTGTTTAAATACAAAATACTGAAATTTAGAGAAATTAAAAACAAATACAAAATAATTTAAAACGATGGAATGCAAAACAACATATTCTAACCTAAACAATGCATATACTTTTTCATAAATCTCTCTTATCCATAGCACTCCGGTATGTAACCTAACCTTAACGTTTCAGGAACGTATTTTACTCCTATCGATATATTTTGTTTTGTGCATCTTTCTCGTATCCTATCTCAAACATATCATTGAACACATCGTACCGTAATTATTATCATACAATTCACATATTAGTAACATATACATAACATATAAGAAACATATTGATCCACAGACCATTCACACATATCAATATATATGATACGTGCAGAACCATGAGGCACGTGTCAACATCAAATATAACCATGCTGATAGTAAAGTCACTTACCTGATTAGCTTAGGCTGGTGTCACCTATTTATCCTTAACAAAGTTAAGTCCTTTGCATACAAGTGAACCTATATGAACCATGCCATCAATTTCAATTTCAATTTTCTAAATTTACAATTGTCCATGTGTTGGACTTCATGCGAGCATTAGAGACTTGCGAGGAAAGTCTTGAAATGTTATGTATATATATAATGTTATTTTCACTACCTATCTTATGTTCTTTTTTTACTGTTGCAGAGAATGTATGGTTACAGACAAAATTTAATGGAGTTTTTTTTGCCGATATTTAAAGTTTTATTTTTAAATTCCGTTCCCCAAATCTTTCCTCAATTATTTACTTACTCAACTCTGTAATTATATATTTATTAATTTATTATTATACAAATTTTTTAAATGAAATAATAATTTTTATTTGTTTATTTGTTTTTCTTTCTTCCGATATTACTCTTCCTCTTTCTTCCGTTTAGTAAATAAAAGTGGGGAAGAATGGTTTTTATTTTTATTTATTTATTTATAATTATACAATTTTTTTAAATGAAATAATAATTTTTATTTGTTTATTTATTTATTTATTTTTGGCTATTACATTAATTTTTGTTTTTTTCCTTTTGTTTTTTCTTTTCTCTTTTCATTATTCCTCAACTTATTCCCAAATTTCATTATTGTTTTCTTTTTATAATTTGTTTTTTTTTTTTGGATTATTTGTGTTTCATATCGTTTTCTTTCTTCAATTATTTGTGTTTTGTCAATAGTTTTATGGTATTCTAGTAATAAATTAAAGTAAATGTATCTGATATTGGAAGAGATAAATTAATTATATTTGATTTTTTAAATCTAATATTTATAATTAATTATTCTATTTGATTAATGTAATTATGAGTAGAAGTTTATGTAATTTTGTTTAATTTATTTATTTGAAGATAATTATTAACTTTGATTATTGAATAACTCAAAAGCTTAAAATTTAAGGCATATTATTACGAATATATATTAATTTTAATAATTGTACTTAATAAAAATTAATTATTTGAAATTGACTAATCTAATAAAATTATTGAAAGTTAAAAAAAAAAAAAGCAAATATAAATATATTACATATTTATATAATTTTGATTATAAGATATCTCAATTGGGACACTTTTATATCCTTAATTGAATTGAAAAAGTTTTTTTTTTTATTATTTCTTTTTTTTGTCTAATTGACCAGTGGCATTTTTATAGGTACTAGTCACATATCAATGTTTTTTCTTTAAAATAATTTTATTTATTTATTTATTTATTTTAAGTTAATAATAGATAGCGAGAATTCCAACATTTAATCTAGTATATTATATGTCCTGTAATATGATACAAACTCAAAAAAAACATTTCTCCGAACTTGATAGGTCACTCGGTTTCTTTCTCCTCAAACCAAACTAAAAATTAAGCATCTTTTAAAATCTAGTTCATGTTAAATTATTATTCCTTTTAATAATTTAATATACACACGTTTTTTTATAGTTCAGATAAGGTTAAAAGATTATAATATATTTTTTAATTAAATAAACATGTAAAATTAGAAAGATTTGAATTATATTCTTTTTTAACCGTAAGCTTAGGTTGAAAAGTGAGATGGGAATTGAATGGGATGATAGAGTGGATGGAGAGATGAGAATTGAAGTGCTGACGTCATAAAGAGTTATGGATTACATCAGCAAATGATGTCATCAAATAATATTCGTGCTGTAATAGAATGAAATTCCAAGTCAGCAGAAGATGAAAGATGGTGGAATTTTCAAGGCTGTTTCCGCGTTGTCCACATAGGAAAATAATAAAAAAAATAAAAAAAAAACAAACAAATATTGATGGCTTTTGAAATGGTCACCACTTTCCTCTCTCTCTCTCTCTCTCTTCAATTGTCAAAGTACAAANCAGCAAATGATGTCATCAAATAATATTCGTGCTGTAATAGAATGAAATTCCAAGTCAGCAGAAGATGAAAGATGGTGGAATTTTCAAGGCTGTTTCCGCGTTGTCCACATAGGAAAATAATAAAAAAAATAAAAAAAAAACAAACAAATATTGATGGCTTTTGAAATGGTCACCACTTTCCTCTCTCTCTCTCTCTCTCTTCAAAAACAAACAAATATTGATGGCTTTTGAAATGGTCACCACTTTCCTCTCTCTCTCTCTCTCTCTTCAATTGTCAAAGTACAAATAGTTTAAATTTTGGTCCAAATTCCTAGTTTTTTCTTACGTAATCTACTGAAGCAGAGCTAATATTACAATTTTTAAAAAGGTCCAAATTCCTAGTTTTTTCTTACGTAATCTACTGAAGCAGAGCTAATATTACAATTTTTAAAAAAGTAAATGTCGGAGTATAAATATATTTATGTGAATGTTTAGTTATCATAATCACGCTCTTGCAAGGGGACAATGATTGTATAACAGTTGTCATAATCCAATGAACAAGTCAGCCGTGTGAAATTTGGACTTTGCAAATAATATCAATATATGCTCGAGCCTTTAAGTCAATAATAAGAACTTTGGTAGCATAGAAGTGAGAGAGAAGTGACAACTAGTCACGTTTTCTATAGTTTATCTGGAAGGATTTTAGCTATAACATGTGTAGACATGATTTTAGTAATAGATGGTGCGTAAAAGAAATTTGAAATGGATTTTAGCTATAACATGTGTAGACATGATTTTAGTAATAGATGGTGCGTAAAAGAAATTTGAAATGGGCATGTGAGCATGGATAACATGTCCTAGATAAACATGACTGAGACATCCGACATATGGTCACCGTAAACCCACCTAGGAAGTTTCTTTTTTGTGTTTGTGACCTTACGAGACATCCGACATATGGTCACCGTAAACCCACCTAGGAAGTTTCTTTTTTGTGTTTGTGACCTTACAATTTGATTAGAGCATACTTATTTTGATTAAAGTTAAGGGGGGCTACTCGGTTTCTTCCCCGTACGAGTTAGGCCTTTTTTTAGTCTCTCTTTTTGTTTGTTGGAGAGCTTCTTACACGTCGTTTTTCTCTCTCTTAAATTTACGACCATCTTTAAAATCCCTTCCCTTCAAACCCATTTCCCCCATCTCTTCAACTCTCTCAAAGTTTGGAGCTTTATTCACTTTTGCTCATTTGGGTTCTTAGAAATTGGGATTTCGGAGTGACCCATTTAGCCAGACATCACCTTTTTTTTGCTCATTTGGGTTCTTAGAAATTGGGATTTCGGAGTGACCCATTTAGCCAGACATCACCTTTTTGTTGTTCTTCTGTGGATTTTCCCCAATTTTAAACCCTTGAATGACCATATTCTTCTTACATTCTTCTTTCAAGCTTGCAATTTTCTGGGTTTTGACTCATCCCAACTACAGAGCCGCCGCCGCCATTCTTAATGGAACACAAGAGTTTGATCACCGAGTTGACTCAGGGGAAGGAGATGGCGATTCAACTCAAAACCCATCTTCCTTCTCCTCCTCCTCACCGAGTTGACTCAGGGGAAGGAGATGGCGATTCAACTCAAAACCCATCTTCCTTCTCCTCCTCCTCCTGGTTCTTCTCCACAAGCTCTCATTTTCTTGACGGAAATGATTCAGTCTTCTTTCGAGAGTGCACTTTTGCTTCTGAATTGGAACCCTAAAGATCCATCCGAAGAAGAAGAAGAACCCACCAAGAACAAGAGGAAAAACAGCAGCAGAGATGTGCTGCTCAAGAGGAGAAGAAGAAGAAGAACCCACCAAGAACAAGAGGAAAAACAGCAGCAGAGATGTGCTGCTCAAGAGGAGGTAACTAATTTTGAGCTTCTTTTTCCAGTTCTTTTCCTCTGTTTTTCATTTGGATTTGGTTTTGCAGAAAGTTGCTGCCTAAATGGACTGAGGAAGTTAAGGTTGGCAGTGGCTCTGCCGCTGAAGGCCCACTCAATGATGGCCATAGTTGGAGAAAATATGGCCAAAAAGATATCCATGGCGCTAACTTTCCAAGGTGAATATCATAAGTTCATCGTTCTTCCACTAAAAAACAGGACAATTGTTTCTAATAATCAAATTTTTGCAGATGCTATTATAGATGCACTCATCGGAATGTACGAGGATGTTTGGCCACAAAACAAGTTCAGAAATCCGACAACGATCCCAACATTTTCGAGGTGACATACAGAGGACAGCACACATGCAACCAATCCGCAAATTTGGGATTGATTTCCGTTTCAAATCGGAACGAAATCCCAGAAGAAACCCATCAAAATCAACAAAACCCAAACTCTGAAATTCTCTTCAATTTCGGAGAACAACAGCATTTCGGTCTCAAAAAATCAACAAAACCCAAACTCTGAAATTCTCTTCAATTTCGGAGAACAACAGCATTTCGGTCTCAAAACAGAGGATTTTGACGATGTTTTTCCGCCGTTTTGCTTCGGATCGGAAACTGTCGATGAAAATGTGTTCTTAGAACAGATGATGGAGCCGGGTTTTGTTGCGGACGGCAACTGGTCTGCGGCGGCTGTGTCGTCGGCGACGTCGGAAACGGCCTGGGATTTAAGCGGTTACGGCGGAGAAATTCAGGGGGTTCAGTCGTCGGAGCAATCGAACATGACGGAGATGGTTTCGGCGACAACTTCAGTGACAAATTCGCCGATTGGTAATGGGGATTGGGATTTGTCGCTTGATAAGATTGATTTTGACCAGTTTTTCCACTTTGACCGTCTGGATTTCATCTCTTGAAAGTTCTTGCATTTTGTACCAATTTTTCTTCATTATTATGATTATTATTATATTTTTCATGAAGGATAATTTTCTCTCCCTGTAAAAATAATTTTGAGAATGATTATTGGTCGTCACTTTGTTATTATTATTATTTTTTTGGCTAACAAATTATTATTACCATATACTTTGATCGGTCGATGGACGAGATATTCTAATATGTTTTGGTCCAAATCTTTCAAGTTCAAGAAATTTGTCACGATGTGGTTAATAATTTTAAGTCCGTCATTAAATATATAAAAGCACATCGAATTTTGATTATAAATCACTCCTTATTTGATTCATGATTTATGAAATAGGTAAGTGAAGGACGATTAAAAGAACTCTACAAGTGGATTCTTAGAATTAAGTGTAAGGATGGTGACTGAATTGAAAAACATAAGACTCGTCTTGTAAGGATGATGATTGAATAGAAATAAGACTTGTCTTGTCGCTAAACTAAACGCTAAACGATTCACAACATGAAGGAATAGATTTTCAAAACACGCTTCCACATGCAATGGAAGACTCATCCTAACTATAGTGGTAGGCTTTAAACACAACTTTTAATAGTATTTTAAAAATACTCTTCTAACTTTTAATAACCATTCAAGAATAAGTTTTAATTTAAAAAAAAATCATCTATACTTTTTTATTAATTTAAAAAATTAAAAAAATTTAGTTAGTACCATGTTTAAAAAATATGGGTAGCATTAACATCTTTTACCTTTGTATAAAAAAATTTAAAATAATTTTACCGAAAAGTGTATATATCTTATGGATTGTCTCCAAGTTTATTAATATTACTTTTGAAATAAAATAAGATGGTTTCGATCCAAAACTAATCATATGAATATTTTTTATTTTTATTTTTTAAGTTTAAGGGTGTTTTTAAGATTTCGAAGTATTATTAGAACTTTTGAAAATTTATAGGCATTTTTAAGATGGGGTGGTAGAAAAGTATTTTTATTAATTTATTAAAAAATTAATAACGATTAATAAAATGGAAATATGTGGACTAGGTCTTCTAATATTTAAATAATAGAGAAAATTTATGTAAATATTAATGAAAACAATTTAAGAAAGAATAAAAGAATAAATGTTTTATATCAAATCTCTTCTTAATTCAATAATTAATCATTGGGTTTATGGAATAAATAAATAAATAGGATACATTACATTAATATTTTAAAAAAATGACAAAATAAATTATTTGGCTCTACGCCACGAGTCTGAGTACTTGGCAACATGACGTGTTCTCTCTTTCCTCAATAAATAATTAATAAATAGGATACTACTTGGCAACATGACGTGTTCTCCCTTTCCTCAATAAATAAAAAATAACACGTGTCTGTCTAGAAATGTTTTTTAAAAGGGTCTAATTGGAAGGATTTAAAAATAAATAAATAAATAATAAATAATGTCCTAATGCGACAAAAATTTAATAATTAGTTATTTTATATATATATATATATATATATTTTTTAGATTTGAATTTATTGAATTTTTTATATTAAAGTTTGATGTCATTTTAGTTATTAATAATAATGCACCATGAATATGTATGATTTTTTTTAAAAAAATAATTAAAAAAAAAAAAAACAACTCATCTTGAAAAGAGAATTTTATTAGGGTAAACACGAGACAACATTCTCTTATTATTACATGATTCACTTAATTCCCAATCTTCGTCTTCTTCAACTTCAGAGCTATTTCAGAGAGTGCTTTGGAAGAACATCCATCTTCTCCCAGAGCTCTTTCTGCTTCATTCTTCAGATACTTCACTTTCTCACGAACCCTTTTCCCCTCTTCACCTTCCATTAACGACTTCACCACTTCTGCAACCTCTTCCTTCTCCACAATCCCTCTTTCCTCCTTCTTCTTCGGCCTCAAAGCAATTTTAATGCCCTCTGTCAGCATATGGGCGTTCATCCTCTGTTCTGCATACGCCGGCCAAGCAATCAGAGGCACCCCGTTCACCACAGCCTCCAGAGTTGAGTTCCACCCGCAGTGGCTCAAGAACCCCCCGGTGGACTCATGCCTCAGCACCTCAACCTGTGGCGCCCACAATGGCACCACCATTCCCCTGTTTTTAGTCCTTTCTATAAACCCCTCCGGCAGGAATCTCAACACCTCCTTTTCATTCTGGTCGTTAAACAACGTCGTAGTAGCCGTCTCGTCTTTCGGTTTTCTAACGACCCATATGAATCTCTTGTTGGTTTTCACAGAATTTCGGTGAGAGGAAATTGAGAAAATGCGTAACAAAAAGGAGAGAGAAAAATAACTCTGACTGCGTTCAGGTTGTTTTATTTGTTCAGAACAAACTCCTATTTAAAGTAAAAAAGAATTCTAAAATTGGCTGGAGAGTGGCCAACTAAATCTGTGCCACTCCCTTCTAAAACTCTGGTGATCCATTCGACGTGATTTGTCGAATGGTCAAACTCACGATTTTCTGAAATCGTGTGAATAAGAAAAACGGTAAAACTCAGGTTTTATCTAACAATCTCCTCCTAAAACCTGTAGTATATCTACCTTACTATTTGAACTCCGATCTTTGAGCGTAGTTCTTCAAATTTCACCCGCGCCAGGGACTTGGTGAAGATGTCTCCAAGTTGTTCCTCTGTTCGGATGTAATCAATTTTGATGA